TTTTGAGAAATGATTTTTGTTTTTTCAAGTAAAAATTGACCTTCAGATTTTTGTCGATCTGGAAAATCTTGGACTTTTCACAGCAGAAGGAATTATTTATTTCAGCCTTGTCAACTTCAGTAAAGAGTATCAATTTTGCATTATTTTCTAATTATGACTACCATTTCCCATGAAGAGAAAACAAACCCTGTTTAATGGTTCAACAACTATAGCTGGGTTGTCAACTAAACATGAATGCTTGGGTATCTGATGCACCCCTTTCTATAAAACAAAAAATAATAGTTCCTGCTGACATTAAATTGTCACATGACAAATTCCTCTGAAATTTGAATGCAGTCCTGCATATCATTGAAGGTTTGTCCTGCTTTTGATTTAGCTTTTAGTCTTGTATCAAACACTTCATTAAAAACCTAATAATTGCAAGTAAGATATTGCTTAATTTTTTTAGGCTGCTTTAAATTTATTTCAGAAACTACAATGTGTAACCGAAGACAGCTGTAAGTCTGTCAGTGCACAAACTTGGCATTAATGATCACCGGAGTACAGGATATGAGAAAACTGTTGAGAATAAAATAATTGATATTCCAAGATGCCGAGTTCAGCAAGTGCATTAACCAGATATCACCTGGAGTTCTCCCATTGACTAGAATGGAATTCCTGAGGCATTAATAGGATTAACACTGGCTTTTCATGTAGGCATTCTGTCAGTTACTTTAGAATGAATGGCATTTTTCTGAATTCTGGAATTGGTTATATGGTGCAAGAGGATGAAGAGCCACATATTTAGTGATAGGATGAAAAACCACATTTCCCTGATTTCACAGTTTGTGGGAGGGATGGGCCCTTTTGTTGACTTCTGAACATTTTGGATAATTTGGATGCATGGTATAGTAGGTGTAACATAGCATGGAAGAATAAAGATAGTTTTGCATCTGTGGTGTCAAAGCTTTTGAGTACTGGAACTGTTGACATTTCTGATTGGTTATAGACTAATTGATAGAGATTGATTGCTTGACAACTCAATTCACATTATAGCATATGACTCCTAGGATGCTGAACTTCTTGGGAATCTTGAAATATTTCATCTAGTCATACTTGTGTTCTTAACCTATACAAACACCTGTTATTTTGCTTTCATTATTTTTATCAGTTAATGTCTTAAATAATGGCTGCAACTATCCAAATACTACAAATTCAGAGCATATGTGACATAACTATTCTTTCTTGTGCTAAAAGCAATATATGTCAAATTATTATTGAGCAACAAAAACTATCTTTAATTTTTTTGTGGGGAGGTTCTAACCTTATTTTATGCTGATATTTCATGAGTTATATAAATTGATCCATCTCATACATCATTAAAAGCCTGTAGACAGAGCGAACCACATATCTTAAAGGGTTAAGAGGTATAAATCAGCGATATACTGTTCTCATGAATTCTCAAATGCACGCCACATAGTCATCTGCTGTAGTCACAAATGAGCTCAGAAATTGAAACTGTTCCACGTGGTATGTATGATCAGCCAAGCTGAATGACAGTGCATGGATTCCCATCAGGCTCCACCTTCAAGGCCTTGACTACAGTGAACTCTCAATCTGTCCATGCTCCTGAGCACTGATTTGTCTGTGTTGGTGTGCTCCTGTGCATGCAGACAGCCAGACAGGAACTGTCTAAAGTGGCTGGGGAGCCTGCCATTGATCGATTGAAATGGTGTGAAGTGAATTAATGTGAGGCAGGCAGTCTGTCTATCAAAGTACACCAAGAATCTGGGGTAGAACTGATCTATGGTAGAAAGCTCAATTTACCAGAGGATTGAACCACATATATATTGGAGATACTTTGTACCAAATTTCTATATTCTCATATGAGTTGAAGGATTCTAGGAATATTAAGTAAACATTTCATTGTCAAGACCTACATGCTGAAGGATCTGGTATCCACTATTAAATTAATGTTATCAGTTAGCAGTTTGTAAAACACACTTTGTAAGTAATCTATTGACATTGCGTTATACTCAGAGTTGAACTTGATAAAAGCTCTCAAGATCCCGGACTCAGTTACGGGAAATGAATTGAGAAAGCATGAGAAAATCCAAATTCTACTGTGGCACCAATATAAAAGTAATTTTTAGGCTATAATATCTGATTGGATACCTAAATAAATTCAAGTACGGAATGTGATAGGATTCCAGTTTCAGAAGTTAGTGTAACGAAGAAAGATGCTGTTAAAGCATTAGTGTTAAATTGGACATGACCTTTCTTCAAAGAAAAGCATGTCGTTCAAAATATAGCCTCCATTTCAAATTTAAATCTTGTGTATAAATTATAAAAATGGCACTTATACTGTCATTGATTAAATGTTGAGGGAAGTAAAAGCATTCCCAGCTGTTTTTTTTTGTGAAGTTTATAACAAGGTTCCAAGATGGGGAATCCTGAGGGGCCCTTGTAAGCCCAAAGCTAAGTAAATGTTAAGGGTTATTGGTAAAGAGTAGCTGTTGCAAAGGAGGAGATCAGGTAAAAGTTGAGTGTTAACAAGTTTTCTTCAAATTATATGTACAGGTGGAAGGATTCAAGGATAGGCAACAGCCTAATCTTTCAGAAGGAAGAAAGATAAAGGCTTGGCACCAAAGGACAATTCGCTTTTTATGCGGTACCTTTAATGTAGAATAATATTGCAAGGTATTTCACAGATACCTTATCAAGAAGGACGAGACATTAGAAAGGATATGTTAAGAGGCTGTTCTTAAAGGACAAGAGGCTAATGGATTATTTTATGGAAAGATTTGCAGAACATAAGTATTAGATGCCTAGTCTATAGACACCATTCGTGGACCAGAACTGGCCAGAATCAATGGGTCCACTCACAACAAGTGGACAGTTAGTGGGGATTTTCGAGCTGGAAAGATTTCAAGAGGCCATTTAAGTGCTTGACTGAAAATTTTAAATTCGAGGCATTGTGTGACTGCAAACCATTGTAGGTCAGCAAGGACAGCAATGAAGGGAGACTGGGATTAATAGATAAGAAGATGCTGTCAGAAAAGTTTTGCATGATCTGAAATTTACACATGGTGAAAGTTGGGCAATGACAAAGGAACAATGAATATTTGGGTGTTGTGATGACCATTAATAAATAAAAGTATTGCAACCAGTGGGTTGTGATAGGAGTGGAGGTGGGTGATGGTACAAAATTGATTTGGTGTTTTTGTCAACAACAGAAGTTGCTGGAAAAGCTCAGCAGGTCTGACAGCATCTGTGAAGAAAATATCAGAGTTAAAGTTTCAGATCTGGTGACCCTTCTTCAGAACCCTTCCTCATCTACAGCATTTGCAGTTCTTTTGGTTTTTATTTGGTGTTTTTGTCGCCTGGACGGGGAATAGAATTCATATTCCTGTGGATCTAGTTTGTCTTGGGACCAAAAACGAATGGATTGGACATTCTGGGACTTGAACCTGTGACGCTTGTGTCTGTCAACACCTGTGGAAGATCCTGATGCACAGACATAAATTGTAATTTTCTAGAAAGTTTAAATTTCAGGTAGTCTAATTTGACCTGCCTGGGACTGACTGCTAATATCTCTCACGCTGATCTCAGTGTGGAGACTTAGAATCAGGTCCACAGCACGAAGAAAAGCCCTCAGTATATGGAGTCTGTGCCAGTCAAAAATAAACACCTCACTATCTAACCCCATTTTCAACTTGGGTTAGATTCTCTCTAATTAGTTGGATACTTACCGGAGAATTATTACTCTCTTTGCTCCTTTTATGTAATTCATTGGTTGAAAGCCAAACCCAACCAGCCACTCGCCTGTCTCAACTATCCACACCTCCAACCCCAAAACCCACCCCACCCTACGTGCGAGCCGACAACTTATCCCTCGCTGCTCCAACTGCGTAAGCCTGATTCTTCCCTTCTCAACTGACTACTGACACCCCACAACATAACTCTTACAACTGATCCAACCCAACTAGCTACTCCCATCATCCCAAGCAAACACCCACCAGGTCCCTGTCTTTCATTCACTCATCTGCCTGCCAACCTGCCTGCTCACTCATTCATTCACTTGACCACCCATTTGACAACCCACTTGTTCATGCACTCACCCATTCACTGTCTCACTCACCGACTGACCCATTGACTCACCCACCCATACGTCCACTTACGCACTTGCCATTCATCCATGGACCCATGCTCTCACCTACCCACCACTCATCTGCCTATGCAGCCATACACTGGTGCACTCCTTCACCCTTGCCCTCACTCTCACTCATCCACTCCAGTTGAAATACCACTTCCAATTTCACAAACTCCAAAGCTCAATTTCTCTGATGCTCTCTTTAATAACTTCAACAGCTTCAATCTATTGTTCAACAATATGGATGCAATTCCAACTCCAAATCTTCTAGACCTATTTAATCTATATCCTTTACTGGCCACTCATCTCCTGACTGCATGACTGCATCTCTCTAATCATTCAAAATTTAAAATCGCTCTATAGTTTTACTTCATCCCATCTCTGTGCCAAGTGCACTTCAAAATCTCACAACTACTTCACAGTTTGCTTCATTTTGGATAAGAGTTTAGCCATCAGAGTTTAACTGTATCTCAGCAGTTTGGAGTTTTCTTCCTAAGCCTTTCCTCTGATTTTCACCAGCCTCTGAGATTTCAGCTAAATTGTCTAATGCTCTCCCACTTCCTATTTTTATATACTGTTTTTCTTATAAAATATTTTAATATGTTTTGTTACAAGCAAGTTATACTTTGAGTAAGTTGTTGCATGCTTGAAGCTTGCTTTGCCTAACAGAACAGTATTACAAGTAACTGGTATAACCTAGCTTTTCATTCACTGCCTTAAGAAGTGTATATGATGATTGTATTGGTTAGTGAATTGTATGTGGCATTATGGGTTTAAAGATCAAAAATTAACTTAATTCAAATTTCATTTTAAAAAAAAGACAACCGGAAAGCTGTGATTCTAAGTATTTTGATGGATTTCTTTTCAGCTGGTGTGACAACAGAAACCATGCAAACTGTTAGTGCAAGTCCTGATTTACAAGGGACAGATGCCAAAGTTCAGGAAGAAGAATCTGATTTAGCTGATGATGACATTACTACAGGTAAGTGGTTCCATTTCCAAATTTTGAAGAGCTATTTTATTGAAGAATATTTTGTCATTTTTATTTTGAAGAAAATTTAAATGAAATAAATTACACCTCTGAAAGCATCCACGTCTTGCGACCATACAAAACTTCTGTTCCAATTGTATGACATGAACCAGGCCTTGCCAAATTAAAATTGCATGTTAGCAATTTTTATTTGCAAACTAAAAATTGTCATTTAATAGTTTCCAGCCGCTTTGATTAAGCTTGTTCTAACCTTCATACCTTTGATAAAGGTTAATTCTGTAATGCAATGTTAATTGCAATGATTTTGCTGTGTTCAGAATGTTGTGACCTTTGAATTTATGTGCACAGTAGCATTTATAGACTTTTGCTATCGAGATGAATGGAAACGATTACCTAGATGAATGTTGCTTTGCATAATGGTGTTACAGTCCTTGGCAAATACTGTGGGAATTGCCCTATTTCATGATGGCAGATCTTGGTAAATTAGGGCATATGGCAGCTTTGGATTTTGACTTGTGTACCTTGGGATTTTTTTTTTTGACATATGCCATTTGACCCTTAATTGCTTATGTGCTGGTAATCATATAGAGACTCTAGTTTCCTCCAGAATTTTGATCAAAGAACGAGGTAATTGAACGACAACTATGATACCAAAAGATTATAGCATATGCAAAGATGATGAACTGGAATTTTTGCATGCAATTCTTGTTTCTTAAATGCATTATTGACTCTCAAATTATCTATAATGAATTGAATGGCTTTCTTTCTGCATTTTTTAAAACTCTAAATATGTTTAAATACAACGCAGTTATAAATACAATCCTATAATAGTATCACATTAAGATGTATAGCTATTATATTTTTTGTTTTCTAGGTTTTAATAAATTCATATCTTCAACTTATTATTTGACTGCTTTTATTATCTTTCTATATTTGACTTTAAGAGGAGTTGTTTTGGTACCATTATAGTATAGTATTTGGTTACATTGCTAACTAATTCTTATTTGGTAATCATCATTATATTTAGTGACATCTAATCGAATGTCAAGTGTAGAAAACTTGCACTGTTGCACTCAAAAAAAATTCAATACGTTTATTAGTTGAGCTGTTTGCATACCAGGCTATTGAGCATTCTTTGTTCAGTGAAAAATATTTCAAAAAAACTGATTTAATTTGTTCATTATCGCAGAAATCACTAAATATCTTTTATTAGATAATTTTTATGACCAGTGCAGTGGCAGACCTCTTCTTCTAATAGTACTGTGGAATTTTTAGTGCCCTATAGGTGGGTATCCATTTAACATTTCATCTGATAACAGCAGCTCTGGCAGTAACATGTTCCCTCAGTACCACACTGATAAACCAGTGCAAATTATATGCTCAAATTTCTGAAGCATGACTCAACCTAGGGTTATTATTTTACCAATACTGGCACCTATATTTGTGTGTATCATTGTGTAGAACTGCTTGAATAGTAAATTTGTTGTCGTAAACCTTTTCCTTTTGATTCTTTATTGATTTGTTCTGTTAATCTGTTTTCCATATTTGATTTCTTGGTTCACATAGTTGCAGCTTAGAGACTGCAGGAGATTTCGTAATAAATAACAAAAATGGAGAGATTATTCAACCACTTTGTGGTGTATAGTACACCGGGTTTTAAATATCACAGGACGGATAATGGTGAAGAATGCCTTCCAGAATGTGTCTCAATAAATTCCCTTTTGCCCTAAACATGGTATCATTCTGTTTCCTAAATGAGTAGTCGTTCCTAGAATACCTATGTCCTGCTATGTACAGTAACATTTTTAAATTGCTATTTTAAATTCACAGACTGTAACATCTGAAGCAACTAAATTCCTTGTCCGCCTCACACCCACTGTGTTACCCTACTCAACACTGATAATGGATTATTTTGGATCGGACCTCCACTAAATTCATAGCTCTTGCTTGAAACATTCAGAATTGTCGCCTTCCAAGTAGCCTCTGCTGAGATGTGCAATAACATTTTAGCATAATTATGAAATGTCTTTAATATAGTATCAAAAGGATGCTTTCAAGCTTTTTTGTGTTGTATTGAGGCTTATTTGACATCTTTCTTGCATTTCAGCTAAGTAAATAAAGCTCTTTTTATATATAGCATGAATTTTAAAAAATGAAGGCTTTCAATGTTGTACAAAAATCTGAAAATATTCAGAAATCTTTCCAACATATTATTACAAATTATTGGTTTTACTCTTGACTACAAGAATGGCTAGAGATTCTTTATTATGATACCCACACTTAGAAAAATCCAAAATTTAAACAGTACACCTTCTTTCCAAATAATATTATGTGTTTCTTCAGTTTTGGGGTACTTGATAAAATAAGCTGCCATGAAGAGCAGGAGATGGATATGTGAAAAATTGAGAGGAGAAATCTTCAAATACATGCTATTACTTGTGTAACCATGTTTGAGTAGTGGATGCAGGTAAAACGATTGTCATATAACTTTGAACACATAATTCGAAAGCATATTTAAGATTTTGGGTTGTTTTAAATGCATGTGATGTCTTAGTTTCTGTGAATCTGTTGACTGTGAATGCTTCCTGACTATTAAGTGTGCACACTTAGTTAAGATAATTTATGGGCCCATGTAAGAGCTTTTAAGTTTATTAGAGATTTTTAAATGTTGAATTACTTTTATGTATTTTAATGATTTTAAATAATATGTATATGTGCGTATATATGCATAGTTAAGCACACAAGAATGGGTCGTTGATAAAAGCCATATACCATATAATGCTAGTAAGGTTGGCGTTGCGGTGTACTCTTAAGACCTCTGTGACGTGCGCAATTCTGTAGTTTTAAATAAATATCTCTAAATTTGCTGATAGAATCCATGCACTGGTTTCCATGCAGGTGTCAATTCTTAATTAGTTCAGTCAAGGAGGATGAGCTGCTCTCATGTCACTGGTCTATATTGTATTTTTATGGACATTTTGAGCATAGATACAAAAGATGGGTGAACTGTTTTCATTGTACAGTTTATGACATTGGAACACCAATAATCTGCAGTTCTTGTTTTATTAACCACTATCTAACTGTAGAATGGGCAACTGAAAAATCTGTTCTGAAGAAGACTTAAAATGTCAACTCTGGTTCTTTCTCCACAGATACTGCCAGATCTGTTGAGTTTTTACAGAACTTTTTGTTTTTATTACAGAAAAATGTCCATTGAATCTATTACATGACAACCTATCACATTTAACTTGCTGTTTATTGTTCCTGAGAAAATGTCAATGTATTCTATATTGAAGCATATGACCAATTGAGTTGTTCCGGAGGTGCAGGTATCTTCGTTCTCTCATGACAAGTGACAATGCCTTTGGTACAACAAGGGCTGTCTCCCAAAACATTGTTTTTTTGCCAAATGGCAATTCCGTAGTTAAAGCATTGCTTTAAGATGTCAAATTTATAGCAGTTTTAATTGACTTGACTTGCTTCTTTCAGTATTAACAAATACTTAGTTATTTTGAACTTGAATTTCATGTAATCTGTCTTGTCCTCCTCAATAGAGAGAACTATCATGTTGACAGATGAGGGGCAGCTAGATATGAATGTGAGAGAGAAAAAAGTTGAATGATTTGCAGACTCTGTGTAAGATTAGACAGTATATGGAATGGCTCCTGTGGATTATAAATGGCAATATGCACCAACTGGGTCAAAAAGCCTGTTTCTGTAATGTTTATATTTAGCTGTTTGTTTTCATTGTTACTATGATACTTTAAAGCAATAAGCAAAGTCTTGATACGCTTTAGTTTTGTGCAGTCACTTAGTGTTGAGAATCTACTAAGTGGCTAATCGTTACTAATTTCAACTTGTTTGGAAACAGAATGAAGCTCATTGTGTTATCTGTCTGTGTTTCAACTGGTGCTTATTGATCTGGTATAGCAGAGGGCATCAATGGTTGATGTGGATTTCTGCAATCCATTCTGCAGATTAAGAGAGTGTCAGGACTAGTTTGTTGTTCAAATTTATTTCATTAAAATGCCATGTAAAAGCATACAGACAGCAAGAAAGAAAAATTTCCTATGTAAGATCTGGTACAGTCAGCCTTAACTTGTATAACTGCTTTATCAAGAGATGAGGAGGATGTCATTGTTTGCACTTGCTGTATCTGCTTAAATATTTTATGCTCATATCTACTTCTGCACTGGGATTTAGAAAACTATTAACCTATGGTGACATTTTTAGCTTGTATGTATTGAATCTGTTGAAATATAAATTTTGCAGGCAATCTGTATGTAGGGGTGTGGCTATGAATATTAAATGCTGTAACAGATTATATAAATGTCATCCATTGACTTTCTTTGAACAGACAAATCAATTGATTTTTGTTTTGATGCGTTATTTAAATTGCTAAACATACAAATATGTGACTTAGTTGAATGTTTTAGTTGAGACAATTATAGCCATGTATTTTTTTTAGGACTGCGCATTTAAACAGAGAAACAGTCTAAGCATTCTTAGAACTGAATGTAATTGCTCAGTCTTGGTTGCTGCAATCTACAACTTCAGAACCTTTTAAATGCCTGACAACCTAAAAAACAACACTATCTTAGCATTCAGTTACTCTTTATAAATTCATAAAAACACACAATTATTAATTTTCTGTACAGCAAAATAGTGGAGTGTTGTACCATCTTATGTCATGAACAAAAACAAAGTTGCTGGAAAAGCTCAGCAGGTCTGGCAGCATCTGTGGAGGAGAAAACAGAGTTAACGTTTCGGGTCCGGTGACCCTTCCTCAGAACCATCTTATGTCATAACTTGGCCACTTTGTATCTATTTTTATGCAGTCAAAATAGCATTTGAATAAAAACTCAGGTATTTTACTTTCTCTGAGGGTGGCTGAGTTCCAGTATACGTTAGAAATAATTAATAATGTCATAGACAATAACTTGAAGTACCTTGTGCTCCCCCCGCCCCACTACCACCACCACTACCAAAAG